AATTATATAAAGGCCTTAAAAAGCTGTAATAGGAGTAGCTAAATTATTTATTTGACTCAAAATTAAGAGAATGTCATTTCCAGACTTTTTCCTAATGAGGAAATTAGTGGGAGGCAGGGTCGCATTACCATGGCAACTGAGGGAGGACACCTGTTACAGAAATCTTCACCACGGAGTCATAACAGACAAGTTATTTTTCCAGCATCCTCAAGTGCACAGCATCAGAATGCATTAAAATTTCATGTGTTGGTGTCAGACAGCTGAATCTATCAGTTATTGTAAAGATACACACGGTATGTTCATAACCTTGAAATCATGTAAAACACATGACTATATGTGCAAAACCACAGGCCCAGTACATGATTTGCACTCTGATACCTTAATTTTTTTATAAATAATAAAAGTAAATATTGAAGCTCCTTATAAAGTTGGTCTTAATCTTTTTTAATAAATTTGGTGTTAGAACAGTTTATTTAATCTATTGGCCAAAAAGTAAGGTAATATATTTTAATAAATTTTCTTATGGGTTTGCAATTATTTGAATATATTTCTAATGCTTATCATGTGTTTAAGTCCTGTGTATGTTTAACTTTTTTACTTTTATCTTTTTGTCTAGTATTCCTGCCTCCATAAAATAAACAGACAGAAACATAATTTTAAAAAGTCTGTAGTTAATCTAATAGAAAAGTGTGTGTGTGTGTATGTGTGTGTACACTTGTGTGTGTGCACGCGCATGGATTGTGTGAGCTTCATCTACTGTCTATCATTTATAATTTTTTTAATCTGATAAAAACATTAGAGCCTTATGAAAAATGCAAATGTGCTTTAAAATATTTCGCATACAGTTTCTGCACGATCTGGCGTCTTTAACATCTGTCCTGGCAGCCACACGCATGACCTCTCACACCATTGTATGTATTTTCACCTGGACACACGCAGGCGCTTACAGCAGTCTTAGCTCAGTGGCAGAACTGAAAGGCTCAGAGGGCAGTTTCCAAAGGTCAATACAGAGTGACCTTTTATTAATTTCAGAATCTATTTTACTACTGGGTCCTGCTCCTACCTGTGAAGTACCTCAGGTAGGGGAGAGGTCCGTAAACTATTACCAGTGAGCTATTCTTGTAAATAGTTTCATTGTGCAGGTCTGTAACTGGGACAGTCAAGGTGTACCTGCTGTTTTGTCCCGATTATACTGTGCTTCCTAAGAACAGATGAACTCAAACTCTAGACTAGAACATGTCCTCAACCCTACCCCCACCACACGTGAAAAAGGAAACTGTAAGGAAAGATGCAAGGATGAGGTAGTGACGGAAAGTCTTTGTGGCAAACGCCTGGTTTCTTTTCACTGTAAACTAAAGGACAGGGAAAAGATAACATACCAAAGAAAAAACATTAGAGCTGCAGAGTGTGTACTAGGGATTACTTCCTGAGCCTCTTTCCAATCATAAGCAATTTGTCGTCATGGGATTCCTATTTCTTCTATTACCTGTATTCAAGAATTACATGTTTTTCACCTTTGGAGAGGCCAGCCGTGTCCTTAGACACACAGACTCAAACCTCTTTTGTGGTGCCCGTTACCCTCGTGATTTGGCCAGAGGCTGGTAATGTGTCTTTGCAGCCACTCAAAAGCCCTTCAGCTGATCACTGTGCATTCAAAAATTGCTTATTCGAATTACCTGCAGCTTGTGTGTCATGTTTTCTTCTCTGTATATCTTTGAATAGGCCAGGACTTGAAAATACCAGTGTCTCCATCCTCTCCATGTGGGATGTAAAGTAAGAAGCATACAGGTAGGGAGGTGAGTGAGAGAGAGCATTCCCCAAGACCTCTCAAATGGAATTTCTTTTCAACAAGTAAGAAAGTAGTAAATAAACTAGAGTCTGAACATGAAAGCCAAAGAAAGAAAGATATGAGTATTGCTCTATCAGGGAACACAGATAAAAACACTCCCCTTGACAGAATCCGGAACCTCTGGATCTACTAGTTAGGGGATGATGGGAGCTTTGCTCTTAGAAAGTACTGGGTGCTCGCTGGCATACAAAAGTGCTGGTTTAATTTCATGTAGAAGCCCCACTTGTGTGAGCATTCTTGACCAGCTAGCAACTGTGTGGTCTCTGCAGTCCTTGTCCATCCCGTGGCTAATGGCAGTCCTGCAGTGAGTTCAGTGTATGTGCATCGAGGAAGACCGCCAGCTCTTAGCAAACACGCACAGGACATAGAGGGGATATGATAATTGCCTTTGGACTCATGTATGTGAATTTGCAAGTTAATACATAGCCCATGCCAGCAATGATTCCTTGAGTAGACTACCTCAAAACTCAGCTTCCAGCAGCAGTTTGTGTTGTAATTTGACTGATGTAGTCTAGGCTTGCCCTAGCTGATTCCAAGTCTGAGGCATCAGAGTGTATGATTTACAACAACAAGAGCATATGGGAACAGCAGATGGAAATAGACCTCCTCCCCCCCCCCAAAAAAAAGAAACAGACCTTTGAGGGGTCTCTGCTAAGATACTAGAAACATCATGTTGTGAGACAATGAAATTCGTGTACTTAATTTTTAAAATTTGTGTTTTAAAGCTGGGCAGTGGTGGTCCATGCCTTTAATCCCAGCACTTAAGAGTCACTGTGAATCTGTGACCAGCCTGATCTACAGAGTGAGTTTCAGGACAGCCAAGGCTACAAAGAAAAACCCTGTCTTGAAAAACCAAACGAAACAAACAAAACAAATGTGTTTATCCAGTTACATCTCGTACTTTGGGACAAACTGAACTTGGAGATGAAAAAATTTTTCTGCGATTTGCTTCAAATTTGCTGCAGTGGAAAAGTGAGTGGAGGTCTGAAGGACAAGAAAGGTTTTCAAGGAGTTGAACTCCTGTGGGGGTAGAGGCCAGGGGGCTGTTCTGTGTCTGCTGTCCTGTTTGAGCTATGGTGGCCCTGTGATAAACTGTACTGGACACCAGGCAGCAGTTTGTCTACTTAATATAGTCAGACCATTCTTTCTAAAAGTATCTATCTTAACCCTGGAAATACACATAAGATACATTTGTAAGTCCAAGATGATACTTAGAAAACAGGATCCAATTGCTGTGATTTTATTTCTCTGCATTATATACTTCAAAGGTAGAACATTTGAGAAGAAACTGGGCTCCCTTTGAATTTTCTTAACTTTTCAATATGTTTATTTGTGTGGCATGTGCACAGACCCAGAGGTCAAAGGGAAACTTGTGGGAGTTGACTCTCATCTGCCTGTGGAGTCTGGAGATTGGACTCAGGCAAGCTTGTTTATTTCCTGAGCCATGTCACCAAGCCCTAGCACAACCTGTTACTGCCTTTTTCTTTTCATTTTATTTCTTTTTTTGTTGTTGTTGTTGTTTTGTTTTTTGAGACAGGGTTTCTCAGTAGCTATGGAGCCAGTCCTGAAACTTGCTCTGTAGATCAGGCTGACCTCAAACTCACAGAGATCCACCTGCCTCTGCCTCCCAGGTGTTGGGATTAAAGGCGTGCGCCACCCTTGCCACCTGGCATAACCTGATTTTAAAACAAATCATTTCTCCATTTGCAGTCAATCTCCATTCCTACTTTGTCCCTAAACAAGCCATGGCCTGCTTTGAATCACTACTCTTGAGTTTTCTGCCCGTTCTCGAAGTGGAATGACAAAATTCGAAATCTCTTCAGGCTTCCTTAGTGCCGTATTCTTGAGTTTAATGCACACGTTAGGCTGGCCCTGTGGTGCACTTCATGACCGATTAATACTTTAAAAAAAAAAAAAAAAGCTTCATTCTGTTTATCTGCCCACATGGGTGTTTGTACTGAGGGATTTAAAAAAAGGAAATATTTTGGAAAAATTGCTGTTTATTGGCCTTTTTGTTAATATAAGAAACTTTCAAATTGATTTCTAACATAACTATAATGATTGCATGTCTTGCTTGCAAAGTGATGGGTTTTATGGGGGTTGGGTTTGTTGTGATGGTGGTGGTGGTTTTGTTTTTTCTCCTTCTCTGTTACTTTTAAACTGGATAGTGGTTTGTTATCTTTGTGGTTTTAATCTGTATTCCCACAATAAATAATATGCTTATTAGACATGTGGTGCTTCTTTGGTGAAGCCTCTTCCAGATTTTGTCCTCTCCTTGCCTTCTGGCTTTTCTTGAAGTCCTGGTAGAAGGCGACTGTGTCTCAGCCAGAGTCCTTGGCCCCTGCTCCATCAGTTTGATAAAGCAGCCCGTGTGGTCTGAGAATCAACTCTCTGAATTCCTAGGACGCTAGTAATTGCGGACCCTTGGGTCTTCTCTGTCTCATTCATGGGAACTGTGTCATTGCTAATACATCCTTGCTCCCAGTGAGATGTTTTTGGAGCCGCACTGACCATACCTAATCAGTTTTTGTTGCCGTACCATCAGCTGTTGGCCGTAGAGCAGGGTTGTAGTGATGGGAAACGCTCAGGTGCTCTAAGTCCTCAGGAGTTGATTTGGATCTACCTTGAACAGCATTTTGCCAGGTCCAGGCGGCCCCTGACAGTTCCACAGAGCCTGGGCAGTGAGGTGAAACAGCCATTGCTCTAGGACGGTCCAGCACCCCCGCTTTCCCAGGTCCCCCGAAGATGAAGGACGCCTCCCCCACCACCAGGTCAGCAAGAAGTTGTCTTGAGAACACAGTGTCCTCATCCCTGCCTCACCTTTCTTAACTCTTCATCTTTTTATAATAACTAATAAGGGAGGGCTGTTAGTATTCAGGCAACTGTACTGGTCTGACCTTGGGGTTCTGGGATGAATCTTCAGCTGCAGCCACTAAGAGCACCGCACCTGCTGTGAACATTTATTCTGTTCCCATTTAAATGGGCCCTGCCCACCTTCCATCTTTCTGTTCTCTGCTTCTCTCTCTCTCTCTCTCTCTCTCTCTCTCTCTCTCTCGCTCTCGCTCTTGCTCTCGCTCTTGCTCTCTCTCCGTTCCCAGAGGAGGCTGGTCTCCTCTCTCCCCTTCATAAAAAAAAAAAAAAATTTCCACATGAGCTCTGTCACATGGCGTCCATCTTTCTCATGCCGTTTTTTTTTAATTATCGCACCAAGATTACAAAGATTTTGACCCTTTTGTGTTTTACATTGTGTTTTACATTTTAGTTACTAGCACTTATATTTCAGTCTCTATTGCGATTTGTTTGGACTGTGGAATTGGATAAGATCCAAGAGTGTGCTATAGGGCTGTGTACAGGGTGTTTATTCTTGCATCTGTGACTTAGAAAGGACTTTCCCATTGAGTGACCCTCGTACCTTTTTCAGAATTGGTTGAGTATGTGTGGGAGTGTATTTCTGAACTTTATTTTGTTTCATTGACCCCAGCACCATCCTGGCTATCCACAGCTTTATCATACTCAGGCACTGACATTCACACTGAGAAACCAGTGATTTCCAGATGGACTTCCACCCTTACTCAACAGGGAAGTAACAACAAGTATTCTCAAACAAATACCCTGTGTTTGCCGCCCTGTCCTTTCCTGCGTGGTTTCTTCTGTGAGACTTGATCCTGTAATTCCTGCATCCAAAAGCAGAGTACTGCAGAAAGTTTTCTTCCTTTCTAGGAAAGCATAGCTAATGCACTGGCCACGATTAGTTGTTTTTATTTATTTAGTCAAAGTAGAAGATACAGAAGTGTGTGTATGTGTGTGTGATAATGGTTGTCAGAACGTTGTTTTTCCTTTCTCAAAAGAAAAACTTTAGGGGGCAAGCGTGCATGTCCATCTCTGTGCACATTTGTGTGGGAGCCCGAGGGGACACTGGGTATCTTCCTCCATCACTGTCTACCTTGTATTTGAGACAAGGTCAATGATTGGGATAAGACTTGCTATCCAGCAAGCACCAGGGATCTTCCTGTGTCTTCCATCACTGGGATTGCAGGAGTATAGCGCTTGTGCCCAGCTTTTTATATGGTTCTGAAGGATTGAATCCAGATCTTCACACTTATGTGGCAAACACATTACTAACGATACGTATTTTTTCATTTTTATGATGTCTTATGAACAAATAATTGCATTCTTTTCTAATGTGGTAAGAATTTTAATAAGAAATTTGTGGGGGGAAAACAGGCAATATAGAAGTCTAATGGAAGCCGGGAGGTGATGGCACACGCCTTTAATCCCAGCACTTGGGAGGCAGAGGCAGGCGGATCTCTGGGAGTTCGAGACCAGCCTGGTCTACAAGAGCTAGTTCCAGGACAGGCTCCAAAACCACAGAGAAACCCTGTCTCGAAAAACAAACAAACAAAAAGAAGTCTAATGGGAAATTTTACATGTAGTTGAGGTAAAGTAATTATAAATTCTCTAGAGAAATTTTCATTTAGATAAATACGTGTCTGAGTGTGCACAGGTATGTGTCAGTGCGTGTACCTGTGGTGCTTAGAGTCCAGAAGAGGGCATCAGATTCCTTAGGGCTGTAAAGAGTTGTTGGGCGCTGAGATCTGTACTCCCATCCACATGGCCGCATCACCATGAAGCATCACAATGAAGTGCTCTCAACTTCATTCCGGGAGATTCCGTGTTTGCACCTTTAGTCAGTGTTACCATCTCTCTGCTACAGCCCATATACGTGTCCTAGCCGCAGTATGCCAATCACTGTGGCCCAAACCTGTAATCAGGAGACTAAGGCCAGTGTGTGTATCTATTTCAATAAGTTGCCCTGGGCTACACAGAGCCTGTTAAGTTGCACGTCAGTAATTATGACAAAAGCATATTGGCACACATGAAGTCCAGGCAGTATAGTAGAAACAAGTAGGAAGAACCCACTTGTTCATTAACTTCTTTGTGTAAAATATACTCAGCACTTAACTAAGGCTCTTGGGAAGTTAGCAAGACAGCTTTCATGTTCCTGTGTTGCTCTCTGTAGATACTTAGACTGACCACGTTTTATCATCTTGGAAAGGTGTCGAATTGAGTTGCACTTTATCCTAGCTATACCAATATGGTAGAGTGTGCCTCCTGTGAGCTCACGAGACACTGGTACTTTGAAAGGCAGGCCCTTTACATATCAGTCCCATTTTAGTATCCCTTTAAAAAGTTTCACTGATGACTCCGAATGTTCAGCCACGAGAGTGGTATCAAAAACTTGCTTGAACTTCTCTAAAAAGTCATAGTCAGTGCTGAACCTGAATTTGTTTGCCCAGAGCACCACAGTGCCTGGCTGGGAAAGGTGCACCATGGTAGCCAGAAGCTTATCGAGAAAGTAGTGGTGGTAGACCACGTCAGAGGCCAGGATGTAATCGTAATAAAAGTTTGACTTAGGGAACTTCTGGTCCAGGTCTTCCCCCCATACCAGTTCCTTCACTTCAGGTAGATGAGCTGCGCGTTCCAGTGTGTTTTTTAAAAGATTGTATTGAAGATTCCCTAGGACATCAGGCAGATCTGTTGCTGTGACTCGGGCTCCTAAAAGAAAGAAATGGTAATGCAACCACAATTTCCTTTACTAGAAGACAGACTAAACCATGCATCTCCAAACCATGCCTTGGGATAGGCTGAGCGAGCTGATATTATTTAAGCTGGGCAATTTTCTCCTGTATTCCTGACCTGTGTTCTCTGTGCACCACATTTGATGTCAATAGCGCCCCAATTTGAACCTCCACCCCCCACTCATGAATGTCAAAGGGATTTGGTTTCATACCTTTGGACTCTCAACTTTCCTTGCCTAAAAACTACATGAATTGAAGTAGCTGACTAGCTTCTCCAAGACTGGTATCTCTGAATAACTAATGACGCCTGTCATGTGACATGTGGGAATGAGCCATCCCCTGTCAGCAGTAAGAGATCAGTATTGTCACAGAAGAGATTTCTTTGGAATGGGAACAAGAAGACACATACCTAAAAGACTGGACACGGTGGAAACAAGCCCTGGTCCAGCACCGATTTCAAGTATTTTAGCATCTTGGAGATTTAATTCTTCAGTATGGTCTTCCAAATACTGGCACAAAACTGTAGCCTAAAAGTAACAACAATTTCCGTTTGGGAATTGGGTCATTAGAAGCCAGGAGCAGACCACTGTACACTTTTATAGTTGAACATTATGGTGTAACTCCAAATATTTTCAGCTTAATACGTGTTCTCTAAGAACCAAGATAGCCAGCTACTGAGGCTCAGATCTGTAAGCACAACACTGAGGAACTTGAGCCAGCCCAAGCTACTGTGTGACTCTTGTCTCTTTCCTACATCCAAAAAGAAAGAGAAAAATGTATGGATATTATAGTTCTAGCTAAGGAACTGGAGAAATAGGTTAGTCTTTTTTTTTTTTTTTTTTTTTTTTTTTTTGAGACAGGGTTTCTCTGCGGCTTTGGAGCCTGTCCTGGAACTAGCTCTGAAGACCAGGCTGGTCTCGAACTCACAGAGATCCGCCTGCCTCTGCCTCCCTGGTGCTGGGATTAAAGGCGTGCGCCACCTACGCCCGGCTGAAATAGGTTAGTCTTGTTGTCTGTGTCAGACCTGACTGATCTCAAAGGAGAAAGAAGGAAAAGGAAGAGAAAGTTGTTCCACTCTTAGAATAAAAGAGAACCGTGTACTGAAAAATAGCAATTCCTGCCAGCTTTGTCATGTTGGGTCTCTAAGTGCTCTAAGGTAAGTTAAATAAATTTGAGCACCTTTCCCCCAGTTCTCTCATCAAAATTCAGATTAATAAGGACTGTGGCTGGTGGCTCACAACCATCTGTAATGGGGTCTGGTGCCCTCTTCTGGCCTGCAGACATACACACAGACATAATATTGTATACATAATAAATAAATAAATATTTTAAAAAAAAAGGACTGTGGCCTTGGACAGCTGGCCAATTTGGAGTCCTCCCTCCCCCTCCCTCTACCCTTCTTCCTCTTAGCTGATAAACATGGTCAGAATGGTACTTCTTCATGTATTTAGAGTAGCTGGTTAAAGACGCAGATCTGTAGCTTCCGTGGGTCTGGAGGAGTCCTGATGATGCCAGTCTGGACTACAATGAGGGCAAATTAGTTTCTGTGAATGCCGTCAAGTGTCCTTTCCAGTGTTCATTTATTCTTTTGTTTCTACTTCCCCAAAGTTTTCCACAATGAGCTATCTCATTGATTCACCAAAGAAGTGTTATTTGCATCAGCTGGGCATGGTGGCACACACCTTTGTTCCCAACACTTAGGAGGCAGAGGCAAGAGGATCCCTGTGAATTTAAGGCTGGTCTGGCCCAGGTAGTGAGCCCCAGGACTGCCAGAACCTCCCCCGCCCCCAACCCCATATGTGTGAATGGAACGCCAGCTAGCAATGCAAGTATGTGCAAGAGAGTAACAAACCCATGCGGACACACACACACACACAGGCCAGGATTGCAGTGTGGAGCTTGGAGATGCAAAGCAGCTGAGCTCAATAGTTTGCACTCTACTTTCAATCTGGGCTAGGCAGGAGATTATTGGCTAGGGAATTGCTCAACACCCGCTTTCGTCGTTGCAGTTCATAAGGTGAACAGCGCAGTAACCCTGTTCACCTCCATTGTATCCCGAGCCCCTGTCGAACAGATATCTGCAAGGATACTAGCAGTTACCTAGGCTTCTAAGGCACACTGGTGGCAGGGGCTCAGGCTTGTAAACCAGTTACAAAATACTGTGGTTTACGTGGCCTACAAGTGGTACAGGGCCGACTAGAGACCACCGGGAACTCAGTACAGCCTTCCTCCTGTGGGAAGAGGTGCACCAGCTGAAGCAAGATCCAAGTGGCCTGCCAGGTGAGAGTCATAGATGCCAGAGAGCAGCAAGGCGAGGAAGGGGGCTTTGGTTGGCAAGGAGAAGTTCGTGTGTGGACCTTCAGTATTGAGTATCACCTAGAGTGGCCCAGAAGACATATTCTGTGTGATTTTGTGAAGATGGCCGAGGCCAGCCTCCCTCTGAGGACACTCTGCCCTCCCATAAGTATCCTTTTGACATTTCAAACCCCCAGTTCTACCCCTCCAAGCAAACTCTGGAGTAACCTCTTTTCATGGACAGCTGCACCGTAAATCACACAGGAAGTGCCATTTTCCCACTTGGAGATCCCAAGAGAGGCCAGTTTGGTGCACGACAGGCCGAGGCCTTTCTTTTCTCAGTGTTTCCCATCACTATAGTTACCTGCTTGTCTGATGTAATAGGAAAGGATTCAGACTTTGGGTCAGGGAAAAAAACCTTTGCTGGAATAAAGTCATAGCCATGTATAAATAGCAAAAGAACCCCCAGAAGACCTAACTTCTCCCACCTGCTACAATCTTCAGGACCACCTGCACAGTCCTCTCTCTTCCTGGGACCCTCTTCATGACTGCTCAGTGCTCCACAGAGCCACCGTCATGGCTTTCCAGCTTAGAGCCCCTTACCATATAATATGTATTCTTAGACGGCTCTTAGGAAATAATAGTCATAACCTTCCTTTTACCCTTAGCCAGTCTTCAATCAAAATATGCATTTCAGTAAGATCTCAGTATGACTCCAAAGTCTGAGAAATTCTGTGGACCCTTTCCAACCTCCCGGGCAGGCTTGCATTGGGAAGACTGGTCATACTAGACCCCAGAGCACCCCAGAGTTAAGGTTTATACAGCCTATGAACTTACTGAGCCCTTGTCTTCTCAGCTGTGAGGTAGGACTAACCAGAGCTAATGGGGGCCTAGGTGCAGTGCCTCCTTAATCTGAACAAGCATGTCAGCAACCCCTTGTTACCATAAGTTCACATTCGAAATAAGGAAACCGAAGAAAAATGGACAAATGACCGCCCAACCCGAAGATAATGGACTTCCGTCTGTTTTCACTACTGTTCCTCACAAGCATGGGGAGTGAGAGGGAACCGGCTGCTGAGTGCTTCCTCTGAAGTCTCTGCAATTTACCTTGTGAAATAAGTCTGGGATTAATTAATGGCTGAGAATGAGGGAACCCCAAAGATGCCTGTTGCCAATTCTAAACTAAAAATTCTTGTTTTTTTTTTTTTTTTTCATGTAATAGTTGTATGAGTGTTAACATCCCATTTCCAATGTGGTCTACTTACATGTCTTGAAATAGTTCAGTAAATATCGTTTAGGAATGGGGTGTGTAGCTCAATGATGGTGCACGTGTCTGTAAGGATAGGAAGAAGGAAGAGAAAGGATGGGCAGGGAGCAAGAGGAGGAGGGAGATACCGGAAAGGGAGAGGAGGATTTTGTTTCAAAGCCAGTGCCCCTGGGAGAAATGCATGTCTGCAGCATCCAAACACAACCCAAACCCCTGGGGGACCAGGCTGTTAGTCATCAGTCGGAAAAGCACGGAGGTGGGAAGGCCAGTTGTCCTAGACAACACAGATGTATAAAACGTTTTCTCGCCAGAAAGCCCGAGCACAAACAGATGTAGAGCTTCTCACCCCTGGCCACACCACCGTGCCAAAGCTCTCAATGGATTCCTGGATGACGATCTTCTTGCCCGCGAACCGATAATGCTCTTGCGTGTAGCTGGCAAAGTCTGTAGGAACAAATTTCTCGATGCTACGAAGAGATGACTCTATCTTGTCGGACTCTGTGAAGCAGAAAAAAAATCAGATGGATCAGTATGATAAAAACAGACAAAACTTTCTCTGGAAGGCCACCGCCAACAGCTATTGACTGTGTATAGAACACAAAACTGAATTATAACTGCGGTGATGGGGACTGGAATTCACACGTGACAATGATAATATGGCAAAATGACAAAGGATGCCCCTTAGGAGGCATCTCCTAGGGAGATCCTTCATTAGGGGAAAACAAGAAAGACCTGTTCCACCGTCTTTTGCCACCCAAAGAAACCAATGTTATCTGGTTGTATGCGAAGTAAGGAGCCTGAGCGAGCTTTCTGCACTTGGCGGAACTAGATAAAACACATCTGGCTATTTTTAGGTCTTGGGGTGAGGTAGTGTTCCCACATGTTGGCAGGAGCACGTTCTCTTAAATGCACAACTGCCCCTCAAAAGGCCCAGGGTACCCACAGTTGAATCGGTTCTCCAAGCCTAGAGAAGGCTGTTAGCTGAACTCCAGATATTAAGTTACAACTGCTTTAAATACTCCTTCAGCCCCGTGGACCATGAGAGCAGGTCTCAGATGTCCTATAAAATGAGGAAGAGAGCACCTGACGGGTCTGGTACCATGTGACCCTGTGATCAGAAATCTTCACAGGCTTTCCAGAGTTTGAGAAGAGCAGTGAGGCAAAGAGTCAGGAAGGAGGATGAGGATGCTGAGCCCATGAACTGTTGGCCAAGGACCAACAATTGTGGCGCCAATAGAGAGAGATTCTGCCTTGGAGTAGAGGGAACAGGGGTGGCCCTTGTCTTTGTGTCCTGAGATAAGACTAGGTTTTGACAGAAGGAGTAGAATCCGGGCTCTAGGAAATCAATGGGGAAACAATCAATGAACATTTGATGTCCGTCAGAGCACCCACTAAAGGTGGAAGAGGAAGGAGGTGAGCTTGGAAAAAACCCTATTCAGTGGAGGCGGGCCCTACAGCGACTTCTGGTGAAAGTGATTGTTGCATAGGATTTTAAAAACAAGCCTATAGACTCAAAGGTTATGTGTCTATATGCGGTTTCATTTATTTTCTAGAAGTTTGTTCTCTTTTACGATGGTATTAGCGTGGGATATATTAGGGACAATTCTGAGCACAGCGAGGGTGACTGGGTCATTTGTAAATTAACCCAGGGGAAGCCTTTGGTTCCTCTGATGATCCCATGATTGTGAACAAGCAGACAGTTCTGATTCCCAACACTCAGAGAAGCGAGTGCAGTGGCCCGAAAGCTGAGTTTCAGCTGAGTTTTCAGGACTCTACTCATCAAGAGCCAGCAACACAGTCCTGGGGGCCTCCCGGCCACCGTAGACTCGCAAGGGGCAGCCCCACAGCCCTCAAAGGGATCTGACAGATAAGCCCCGTCTTTGGGAATGATCGAGAAGGTCCTAGATTCCTACACAGGACTGTGAGCTGCTGCTGAACCTGCTTCAGACAAATAGGAGGCCAAGGAATACAATGGGGGATGTTTCACGCCCAGTCCCTACAGATTCACAGGGCTTGACAAGCACTCTATAAATACACCCGCCTTGGGTGGTGTGTGCTCCTGCGACAGAGGAGATGGAAGTAACACGGAAAGCACGGGTGACATGTGGCAAATGAGTAGAGGTGAGATTTAAGTAGTTTTTACATTCGTTTATTTCATGTATACGGGCATTTGGCCTTTGTGTATACAGATATGTCTGTGTACCATGTGGGTGTAGGGCATGGTACAGTTTCTGCAGAGGCCATAGAAGGCATCAAATCTCCAGAACTGGAGTTAAGATGGTTATGAGCATATAAATAGTTCTATGTAAGACCACCTGAAGGTCTATAAAGAGAAAAAATGTCTGTATTACACTTTAAATATTGATCACTTTAAACATCAGATTTTAGAGACTTTTGTAGTTTTTGAAAACAATATAGGAAAGATACCACCCTTTTTGGCAGAGGTAAAACATTTTTTGTTTTACTTTAAATAGTAGTTTTAAATGACTCATGACATCCTTGGTTATGTCTATTGCTTATTTGCTTCTGAATCTATGCCCAGATGTAATTCTAAACTTCCACATAGCTCTAAGGGGAAACTACCCTTGACAACGAGCCACCACAGGAGAAATTCGCCAAAAATGCACCTGAGTTAAAAGCAAAACCAGATCTGAATTTTCATCTGCTCTTGCTTCAAACATTCAGTTCTCTCAGACCTGTACAGATGACAAAACATGGTGGAAATGGTAAGTTAACAATGAAAACTAGAAGGTTGGCATAAAGATACATTCTTCTGCTACTCCCTATGATAGTTTAAAGAATCCTAGAGTTTAGAGGAAATGCAAATTCTTGTGGCCGGGAAATGCTGTCAGGGCTCACCTCCCGAGGGTCCTGCAAAGCCATCCTCCTGTGGAGTCCCCAGACACAAGGGCTGTTGTCCTGTGCGCAGACACTGGTCCATCGCCAGAACCTTCAGAGAGGGAAAAAGACACTTCAAACTCAGCCTTGCAGGGTCCAAGAAGGCAGAGCTTGTTGCCTTAGCATCTGCTGAGTGGAGAAAGAGCCTCTGCTTTTCAGCTTGGCTCCTCAGGGAGAAAAAGGTGGCCACCCACGGGGTGAGAGGAGGCACCTATGCTCACGGAGAAATACAAACCAGAGCCGATGCACCTGTCAGGACCTAGCGCTGTGCGGCTCAGCGCTGCGTTCTGGAGTTTTAAATATTTCAAATACGTTTGGAATAGGATTTCATGATGAAAGCCCGCCCAACACTGGGTGCCACTGGAGACACTGTGGGTTAATGGAACCGTGGATAAAAAACCCAGCTTGAACCAGACTCTGCGGCTGTGTTGGAACATGGCGGCGGGAAACGCTGTACAGCTGGGAGACTGACCTGGCTCCTCACTTTCAATGCTTGGCACCTCTTTCATACCCTCACTCACTCACAGGAAAATTGATTTGCAACAAGAGAACTGTAGTTGCACCGACAGGCACAAAAGCCGCAGGCCTGTTGGACCTGAAAGGGTCAGGGCACTTGATGTTTGTGGGCGACAAAGCAGACACAGCCATTTGGAGCTCAGTGAGATAAAAACAGAAACGGTACCAGCACCAGGATGGCTTATCCATTCATCAGCTTCAAAATCACGATACTCCCATTGCTCTCCGTCCTCCCTGGGAGGCTGAGGCAAAAGGATCACAAGTTCAAGGCCAGCCTTGCAACAGAGAGAGGCTCTGTGTCAAAATAGAAAGTTTGAGATGTAGCTGAGTGGTAAAGCGCTTGACTAGCATGCACCAAGCCTGTCTTCAGTCCAGTTAAGATGGGGTTGGGGGAGAGAATGGGGACAGAGGTGAAGTTTGATGGCGAAAGAGCCGGAAGTTTGAGTGGGACATTCAGCCGCAGTCCACACTGTGTCCGGGAGGCTGCCTAGGTCCCCTGTGGCTTTCCTGAAATGACGCCCAGTGCTTAGTGTGTGTTAAGTCCACATTGTAATGGTTTCCCGGCAAGCCTCTGTGATTTTCATTGTCTGCGTTTACGATCCCGAGTTTACTGCCATGCGCGAGAGCGTTCCCATCCTGCTGTTGCAGGTGGTCACCAGGCATCACTACTGACCTCGCTTCCATTCAACCCTTCTAGCCCATGAT